ATTTTATTTTCTTATATAGATGTTAAAAAGAAATAGAAAACCAATTCTATTTCATGTAATTTTTGTTACATGCGAAATATATTTAAAAGTTTGTTCATTATAATATCAAAAGATGAGCTTTAATGATGTGATTAGGAGAGCTGGACTTTTTTTCTATCAATGAGGATCAAACATAAACTAAATGATCTTTTTCCTTCAGTAATGTTAATGTTATTATACCATATCAGAGGGAATACATAGGATTAAGGTAAAGCATCTTTAAGGAAGAAAATGGAAGAGACCTAAGTGAAAGTTACCTGAAATTCACATAAATCATCGTTCCATTTTCTTTGGTTTACGTAATATGTTTAATCCTCTTCCGTTAATGAACCTGATTTTTGTGTCACTCAAATAGAATGAGAAATTCTGTATTCAATGTAACAAATAATATATGTAACACAATCATGCATGTTTTTTTTTAAATCTCAGTTTACACTAAATATCGCATACTTCATTTATTATGTTTTGAAGAATAACATGTAATACAAGTTGCTGTCCTTTAAAAAAGGACTGCAATACGTAGACCATATGCATGTGTTTCTAACCGAAATTCAATTTACGAAATTTTCTAGGTGTAATGAATATTCATGTAGGTTTGTTTAATTTTCTACAATGATATGCCTACTTATGACTGATAGTAGTCTCAAAGCAAAACTTTTAGCCTTTATAGTTTTCTCAGTTTAAAAAATCGGACTATTTTGATGCATGAAACCCATAATGACTGGGACTTGACACCTGTTCTGGATTTATATGGAAGAAGTCTTTCTTGGGAAAAATAGATCTGATGGTACACGTGTAGCACAGCTCTGTAGTACGCAGATTTTTTTTTGTCGGAGCCCCCCCCCGCATTAAAACCGTTGCTACAGACCTCTATCAAACGACATTTGGATTGCTGAAATATCATATACAAAACTAATGCCGGTGAAATCTTGTTTTATCTTTTCAAAAGCTAGAAGTAGTCGTTTAATGACATTTTTTATTCAAGTTGTTAAGATACATATATCTAAATACACTTCAAGTTCTTCCTACTTTTTAAAATGCTTGTGATATAGAATCAATGTTTAGTCTGTATATAAAAGTATATATATATATATAAAAGAGTCAAAATTAACGTAAATCACAGCTTCGTCTAAAAATGTAATATATAAATACGATCTCTAAAATCCAGCGGATTTTGCCTACTTTTGGTGCGCCGCCTCTAACTTCAATTCCTGGATCCGCGCCTGTATATATAAGAGAGAAATTCAGATCCGTCAACAATATATATAATACGATTTCAGCTAAAATTTCAAAAAATATTTTTTTTTCTATTAGCTTGCTACTGAAATACTTGATTTCTGAATCAAAGGAGGATGAAATCGATCCAGCATCATTTGGAGTCAATGTTTGACTGAGGCAGAACTGAGGATATTGATATCGGGTAAAATATTACAACTCTACCGATATGACTTATACAGTACGCTTGTCATATATCTAACTAGGGTTTCTATTGATTATCAAAAATTTGAACGATAGTTGTCCAGATACAAGACAGATTTAGAGCTCCAAACCTTTGTTTTGTAAACAAGGTATACAGTATGTCATGTTTTTGTTTACACAAGTTAATATACTAATATATGTTCGTTCAATGAAGATAATTTCAAATAAAAGTTAATTTTAAATACGATTCGACAGTTACTATTAATTTGCTGAATTTCATTTTGTTATAAATATGATATTTTCTATATGTAAACAAAAACAAGACACGAGCTTTGTTTATTTTGTGAAGAACTTTAAGTTCTGTATCTTGTTTGTTAATCAACAAATGATGTTCAAATTTTTTCTAATCAATAGATGATGTCTTAGGTAGAAATTGTAAACGTTAAAATTGGTTTAAAAATTCAGTTGAAACTGTGTCCATGCCCCTTTAAACGCGGGATTTGCCAATGAATGGCATATTTTAATTCGAATAGGACGAATTATTCTACGGGCAAGTTTCCTCAGGTGCGAACTCTTTAGCATTCTCGCGCATGCGTAGCCTGTCGTTTGCCCATGGCATCCGGTTTAATTAACCTCGCTTATATATTTACTGCGTCTAAAAAATTTGAATTTAAAATGCAAAGTGCAATCTTCCATGCAATATCAAAGAAAGGCTCTCAATTTTAAACTCCAAAACAATTTACTTCTCAATGAGTACTACTCATGGTGACTTATTTCTACATAGAAAGATCTTCACGGTCACATGGAATACGCATATTGTATAAAAGAGATCTACCATCAACCATTCAAAAATTAAGACTTAAGTTTTCAAAAAGTAGACCAAACTCCGAAATTAAAATGTTAAAAATGTTAATGTCAAAAGAGAGACCTGAGCACTTGAAATTCACAAAAATGTTTAATAAATTTTAATAAACTCCAAGGTCAAGAGGTCAAATATCTTGGTATTGAAGAAAAAATTCTCATGTGAAATATGTGAGCAATAGTAGAACCAACCATTCAAGAGTTAAAGGTAAAGTTAAACTTTATGAAGACAAGCAGACATATAAAGGACAGACAGACAGACAGACAGAAAGACCAAAAACTTTTTTATTTATATAACTCAGTTCTTCAGTTATGTAAGCATTAAATACAAAAAATATAAATTTTCGTAAATAATGCAGTTGATTTGATACACATTAGCATGCTCTACGTATGATCAATTGCTATAACGAGGAAAGTTATTGACAAACAAGTTGATGAAAAAAGAATATCAATAATCTCATTTAAAGTCATCATTTCGTAAGTTCTATGATCGATTCAATGAATACAATCTATCATTTTAAAAGTCAACTGCTATGGCTTTTTCATATAATTGTTAGGTCATTATTTACACTCTGAATTGTGAACTGATTTTTCCGTTATTTTCTGATCATGACAAGGAGCATACGGTAGGTGTGGTGGTAGACAGAGGATGCTGCCTCCTTCCCATCACCTGACCCCACTTCTGATGTTTTAGAGGTCCAAGTTTGCTTTGCTCCAGTTTTGTATTGTTTGAATAGTTTGAATGGACTTTTCAGCTTGAATACTGTACGTTATCTTCATATATTTCAGAGTAAGTAATAACGATTTCCTTTCTCGATCATTACGTGATAATTTCCATAAAAATGAGGGTATAATGTGTGCTTCAAAATAATGGGGCATAATTTAGCATGGTGACTGATCATAAATTCAAATCTTTTCAGAGCAAATGTGTCTTAAATACCTGCTTCTTCCTTATGATTAAGTGATTTTTAAAATAAAAAATTCATTAATTATTTTTGGGCTTCTATCATTTTTGCTCTTAGTCCACCCACAAATATAGTTGATTTCACTTGCATGCATGGTTACCCAGAGATCAAAACCGGAACTGCCTAGACTACTTCCGGATGCTAATGCTAATCCAAAACGTTATCGCTATAAATCATGTACAGACTACTTATTCAGGCAAGTGTTGGTCTAATTCAATCTCATCAAATCGATAATCCAAATAATCATCAATTTAGAGGTATAATTAGGGGGAAAATCAAATCTCATATCGTTAAAATCAATGTTTCCTCTGAATTCTTCAGGAATCGTTGCCCATGGTTCTAGACTTAAGATGAAGAATTACACCCATTTTCTGTTCAATTACATCTTTCAAGTGCAATTGAAATTTTCTTTTTGCTTCATTTATCCCTGTGATAATGAAAATTGCAGCGAGCCTAGCAGGGCTGGAAATTCGTGGCCATTAAAGGCAATTAACATACTTTATCTTGCTTTTCCTTATCTGATATAATAGCACGCCACCCCCACCAAATGCATTTGACAAGTTGATAATATTCTCTTGAAATTAATATGCCTAATGGCGTGTCTTTACTGCATTTATTGGGTTTAGTGCAATGTGTTTGATTTTTTCCTGAATAAACACCAATGTAGCCAAAGCTAACAATAATTGTTTTGGTTTATCAATGCACTATTACATTTATTAGTATTTCAAAAACATTTTCAATAAATTTCAGGCAAATCAATAAAACTGCTTTATTTATTACAATACCCAAAACATAGTTTTTAACTAGAGCTGTTTGAACTTTATGCAGAAAAGCGACAACGGTAGCAAATTTTGAAATATAATCTAATGTATCAGTGATTCGTTTAAGTTCAAGGTCTAGTAAATTTACAAGTATGTAAATATGTCCACATGTTCACTTAATACTGTGTAAATAATCTGAATTTTACCTGTTAAGATGACCATAAAGTTCATTGATAAACCATAAAATTTCTGTGTACTAGTACTTCAAGGACATTTCTTTGCAAATCGCACTCTTTTGCAGACTCTAGCATATTGACAGCTACCGTCCTCGATGAAGATCAGTACGTGGTTGTGACACTGAAAGGAATAGATTCAAAAATAAAGGCATTGTCTTATATTTTTTCATTTATTTAAAAAATGTATATTGTGCAAGTGAGAAGGGAAAAGCACGCACCAGTGTAGATAACTGACTCAAGGATAAGGGAAAACACGCATCTTCTTTTTCAGTCCCCTGCCACTTTGGTTTTATCCTGAAATAATTTAATTCTGGTTGTAACACTGTATTTAATTGGATAAAAAATTTACTTCATATCGTTTAAAATGGGTTGCCTACATCACAATGACTTGCGTCAAAAACGTATCAATCCGCCTGACGTTACATTCAAATTTTGTACAAATTGAAGTCATATTTTAAGAACAGTCATCTTTTTTCTTACACCAAATGAATGAAAATTAAATTAAATCAAATGGGTAACAATTAAATTCATTTCTTAATTAAAAATGGACCTTACGATAATGTATTTTTCTATCAGCGGAAATTACCAAGGACCTCAGATCATTCATATTGAATTTCAACAAATCAAATTTGGACAGAAATTGAATCCAAACGTCAAACAAAAGTTAAAGCAGCTTGCGCTGATGGGTTTCGACGCATCACTGTTTTATACCATATTTGATTGACGTATAGAACACATTTTCCAGTCAGCTGCAATAAGAGAACCTATGAGGTGTGAGACAAGTGCAGCATTTTCCAATATAGTGTTATTTGTAGACATTTAGAAGGAACGACAAAAATTATCGTCCGTTATTATTCACATAATCGATCTCAAGGCGGATAAAATACTATATTCAAACAAATGAAAATTGATTTTGCCGGTAAAACTGGAAAACTTCGGACTGATTCCGTATACATTGTACATGTATTAAAACAGGAACAACGTGTTCAGATTCTGGATTTGATTATATTATGAGGATTCAACATTTTAAAATACGGAGATACTTGAAATTCGACAACGAATTGATAAAGCAACCATTTCTTGTGCAGTGTAAGTAAATGTCTTAGAAAGATCGATCTTTGCTAAAAGGTTCTTAATTTACGATCTGGATCTATATATTTATTCACCTGCTTTGATGAGGTGAGTCTTTGTTACCATTCTTTTTATTTCTTCCCCCTCTCTCTCTCTCTCTCTCTCTCTCTCTCTCTCATTTTTAGGGTAATTCTGAAGCTTTGATTTTATATATTTATGATTTTTTTGAGGTATTATATGCAATTTGTGCAAAGCTTAACAGCTTTTGTGTGCTTAAGAGACGTTTGCAATCATCACTAAAAAAATTCTATATTACTACAACTCCGTGCTCAAAAGAAAGATATCTTCCCATCGTGTAATAAAAAAATGAGATGTTAATTTGCCATGGTAACGAGACCTTTTTCCCACTTTTTTACGATCTGCCGAGGCGATAATATATTCCATCAACAGGAAATACCCATGCATTAAGCATGAAGATGAACCCCAAACACAGAATAGGGTTAAGTGATGCTTGCATGATATATATGAAGTCGGACAGAGACTTATGCATGGTGAACGTGTTTAAATCTTTGAACCTTAAATGTCAAAAAATTATGTACAGTGAAAATGAGATTAATTAATCTGTTAGGCCACTTAGGCAAAGAATCACATAATTGCTTTTACCATATTTTGGTTAATGAGAAACTTCATTCACTGCATGGTGAACGTGTTTAGCTGTCGATATTCATCTAAAGTTATAAAAAAAATATGTATTGAAAATGAGATTAATTAATCTTTCAGATTTCATTATAAAAAGAATAAGTAATTGATTAATTTATTCCAGTAAAAAAATGGGTCATTGCGGGGGATATTTTATCTTATTAAATATGTCACTACATTTTTTAAATACAATAGTTTATTATTTTTGTTTACTTTTCTTAAAAATAATAAATTTCTTATTATTTATTAAAAATGCCATTATTATAGTTTATTATTTTTAAATAATAACTTTCACATGAACGAACAATGAGAGAGAGTACATCGCCACTAAGTTAAACACCAACACATCAGTACACAACGTTAACAGTACACAACGTTAACATCAGTACACAACGTTAACAGTACACAACATTAACATTAATACACAACGTTAATATACGTACACAACGCTAACATTAGTACACAACGTTAACATTAGTACACAACGTTAATATACGTACACAACGCTAACATCAGTACACAACGTTAACATCAGTACACAACATTAACATCAGTACACAACATTAACATCAGTACACAACGTTAACATCAGTACACAACGTTAACATAAGCACACAACGTTAACATATAAGTACGCAACGTTAACACCAACACACCACCATTAACATACAATGAATACACTTCTTTAAATATGAAAAGTGAAGATAATTATCATTAAATATTCTGTTTTAACAATACAAATGATAAGCATGACTAACACAGACCTCTGGAAACAAAGGTGGGATCGGGTGCCTTGGAAGAAGAAGATGGTATATTTTCAAAAATTCGTTAGAAGACTTGGTCTCCGAAAAAAACCCAATGATGTCGTCATTAAAAAACTCGGACATCTTTTGAACCTCGGTTAACTTGTCTGTAGATTAGAATTCTAAACAAAACAAATCAAATCTGCATATGTGTGTAGAATCAGAATGAAAAAAAGATTAAAGTCTATCCATGACCACTGACAAGGTATGAAAATGTAACAGTTCCTTTTTTATTACTGAAGAGGCAGTTTATGAATCTGGTCTATAATCTATTGTGGAGATTGGTTATCTAACTAAAGTGACGTAGATATAATAACGAGGACATTTAATTTTTGTATTCATATGAAGCAGTATTTTTCAAAATCTAATACACGAAAGAACATTTGAAGTGGCCTTCAACTCGATATTTAGATATATCGACTACGTATTGTCAATAAACAATGGTTATTTTTATTCTTATTTCGATGCGATATATCCCGATGGGCTTGGATATGATACCACATGGTCTGAACCATCTATTCATTTTTAGATATTGTACTTGATAAAAACATTAATGGTACTCTAACAAACAAGCTTTATGATTTTTCCGATGACAAGGAGCACACGTCGGATATGTCTGGTCGGTAGGGGAGGCTCACTCCTTCAGGTCACCTGATCCCACCTCTGATGTTTGAAGGTCCGTGTTTGCTCTGCTTCTATTTTGTATTGTTTAATGGACTTTTGGGCTTGAATATTGTTCGATATCTCCTCTATGTTTCATTGTATGTATATATTTTGAGATTGATAATTTAACACGTCTGTTACATCAAATCAGATCATGCTTTGAAGCTATTAGTTCACCACTTCAAACTTTATATAGGAAAAAAAACTATTTCCGACTGCTCTATAAAGCACCCTAGAAACCTTTGCATACTTGGAGCAAAATCTCTGATACCGTATAATTATATGTTTATTTCCCTATGTTTGCTTCATCACACGACAGTTTTGTTCGGATGTTTTTTTGTTTAACATTCCTTTGAGAATTTTTAAATCATATTGAGATGCCACCACTTGCCGGTGGAGGGCTGCAAATTTAGACCTGTACTTAAAATTGATACTTAAAGCCTTTGGCCAATGAAGGAACTATTTCGTGCCAGCATGAATTGTGACGTGGGACCTTGGTTTTTATGGTCTTATCCAAAGGACCGGTCTCCAAGTACTGCAGTTGAATTCAAACCTGCAACACAAGGATCACTCCGGGTACCTGTAAAGTGCGAAACGAAATAGAAACGAAACGAAACGAAACGAAATGAATCTGTGACGAAACGAAATCAAGACGAAACGAAACGAAATCAAAACGAAACCTGCCGGGACGAAACCAAACAAACCTTTCAGAATGTTTATATGGTCTATTTTTACTTCATATGAAATTTATATAGGGCAATTGTTTCCGTTCCTACATAGGCATCTTGAAAGTTGGGGGGGGGGGGGGGCCAACAAAAAAGGTAAACCCAGTTTTCAATACCTATGTAATATATATCTTTGCAAGATAGTGGGGATTGAGGCTAACCCACCCCCCACCCCCACCCCCCTCCCTGCCGCTTCCGAACATGTCAACACAATAATTTACCTACTTAAAAGTGAATCGTTCGCTTAGAGAGACTAGTTAAATCTTTAAGTCTATGGTCGAGCATTGCAACGTTCCTAAAATTACCACTGCGCACAAGATTTCGTTGGAGTTACATGTATAATCTGATTGAACAAAAAACCAGACACCTTGGAACTATATCTGTCTCTGGTTTTGTTTTAGGACAATTACAGTGACTTTATTTCGACCCGTACATAAACGTTTACATGTACATGTAAAGAGTAAGATATAAAAATTAGAAAATAATGCCATAAAACTATACATGCATAGGCTTATATTTGCAGCTCAAACATGTAAATGCATAATTGATCAAGTGCTTGAAGTATATGAATTTTATCTGAAGTAAAAAAAAAAAAAGTCCACATGTAGTTACACATTTATAATTATATACATGTACCTTGATTTACAAAAAAAAAAAAAAAGAAAAAAAACATTTTGATAGTTTTGCTTCGTTTCGTTTTGGCAGGTTTCGTTTTGATTTCGTTTCGTCTTGATTTCGTTTCGTTTCGGTAGATTTCGTTTCGTTTTGGCAGATTTCGTTTCGTTTCAGTTCGTTTCGTTTCGTTTCGTTTCTATTTCGTTTCGCACTTTACAGGTACCCGGATCACTCCTTAGTCTAGAACAAACTTCTAACCACTGCGCCCTGTGGGCGACTCCTAATACGATAAAACTATAATTGCTCCAGTTTTGATAATTGCATGCTGTTTATTTACATGTAACCATAAAAGGCTTTCGATCGTGCATAATTGATCAAGTGCGAACCTCACGTTTTCAGAAGTGTTTTGTTGCTTTGTGTTCACGTACTTTGATGATGTTCCCCAAACATAAATAATTTTGTTTGAACTAATTATGTTTAAGGGCTAAAATGTACCATAGAATTTGATATAATTTTTTTAAATTTCATTTCAAAACTTTTAGCAATTATGTGTTCGTATAAAGAATCTGAAAACTATATACGTTAAATATCCATTGCTTATTACGTCTTTGGTAAGAACTTCCTGCTTTTATTTTGTATTCCAAGTTTTAATCTCGCTAATCTTGAAAATCTCTGAATTCATTGTTCATGTTTTGACCAAACATGCTATCTCTTAATTCTGAGTACAAAGATTTTGTAGATAGTATTTATTCTCAGCATCTAGTTTTAGTTTAATTAAATTTTGTTCATTAATGATGAGATACAGCTAATTTTAAGTGGTACATTATTATATTGTTTGATTAGTATGCAGATTTAATAATGTACTTTTATGTCGACCCACGCAGGGATATTTTATTCATGGTCGATTTTCATCATGATTAGATTATTTAGCTTTTTATTGACACATCCACCTAAATTCAATTATCGACAATTAGCAAATCCAGAGAAAAACAAAAGCAGGGAACAATTGTCAATAAATGCTTTGTACGTGCTCTGAAGTCACGACTTTATATTACTCGGATTCTAAACATTGATATGATAATATCTCTTGTTTTCAGAAAACATGAAATTTTGATCGCTGCCAGTTCTAATGGGATGTGACGTCAGCAAGTCAACAGACGTCATTGAAACTGAAGAAATTGAAAGTGATACTTTCGAGTTCACAGACACACAGATAGACACAATACGAAGCACGTGGCCAATATTAGCGTGCGACATGACCGACATCGGGTCGAAGGTGTTTCTGAAAATTTTTCTGGAGGAGCCAAAATTGAAATATACATTCTCTTCATTCAGGTACTTTTTCTTTGTTTCGAAGTGAGCTACATTCAATATGAAATTGTTTAGTAGCTTCAAAGATGCAAAGCTTCTTTAATCAAATATATAATAGTTTCCTTCTAAATTAAGGTCTTTGTGAAAGCTTGTGACATCCAATTTTCAGAACTTCAGATCTTTGAAAGTTTGTTTTTTAAACTCTTTTTTAAATTAAACTCTTTTTAACTTTAATCTCCGAAATGAAGTGCTGCTTTACACTCCGACCTTAATAACATATTTTATTGTTCCCTTATACATGTATTTGAATTTGTTTATTCGATATTTTGTTATTTAACCAATATTTTGTTTAACAATTGCTAAATGAGAAAAACGAGAAAATTGGATTAAGAAAGTAACCGACGGCTATACACTGAATCTCGTCGGCTAAATGAACGCGTCAGACGAATCAGAAAACAAAGGATCAGTTACAGGGGGTGGTGATAATCCATAAACATTGTGATATTTTGTAGACTTAGTTTTTCTGAGAACTTGCGTAATGAATAGGTGATGTCAAAAAAACTGACAGAAACTATCGATTTCATTCAAAAACTTTATTTGTGTGTAAGGTTCTAGCCGCAATGATCAATGTAAAGTAAATACTATGGCCAAGATTAATTCGCATATAAGATTGATCTGTTTTCATTTTCTTTTTGAACTTTCCTTAAATATTTACAAAAGGAGATATTGAATGACCTGAACCTCGAGAAGAATTACAAAGCATTTTTTAACATTTCAAACTGATATTAACACTTCCTGAAATCGTCTCTTAATGACATAATGATTAGAAATAAGGTTTTCGGTGCAATAGTTTCAATTTATATAATGGAATTTTATATACAAGATATACTCACTTAAAACGGTGAAATCGGAATTGATTTCAGTTCATTTGCTTAAGACAAACCGACACTTTCTAATGAGTTTAAAAGCTTTCTGCAAAAAAGCAAAGGTCTCCTAGGGAGATGGTAAATACCCGTCTTTCAGAGTTAATGCATAAGGTGTACATGTAATGCGTTTGCACTGGACCTTCGGGATTCAGTGACTCAAATTGCATACAATATTCATGTTCATTAGATATTCATGAATCTGAGATCTTACTGAAAACAAAAAATAATTGATATTTATGTATTTTTAATTCCCTCTTCAGTGACATGGAAGAAAACGAATTAGTTCATCATCCACTTTTCATCGATCACGTGACAAGGTTTATGAATATCATCGACTATTTAGTGGAGAATCTCGACCAAGAAAAATCGGACTTTGAACAAGCCTTGCTAATGCTGGGTGCCAAACATGCGACATTTCCAGGATTTCAAATATCTTATTTAAATCTTTTCACGAAAGCTCTTCTGGAGGTTTGGGAGAGCGCAATCGGCGAAGAGTTCATACCGGAAGTACAACAATGCTGGGCGCAGCTTTTTACCTACATTATGCGATACATTGTGCAAGGCTACGAACTTTACTTTAGTGAGTGCCAAGATGATATTGTTGATGAAAAATCTTAACTAAAACTTTGCTTTTTTTTTTACTTTGCATCTGATTTTATCACACCAGATAAAATATGAAAATTTTGCAATCATGTATTGAACAGCGAGAGTGTTTTTAAAAATAATGTAAAATAAAAATTATGCACAAACTTTAGTTTGCAATTCATTGTAAACCAACCAGTATACATGTACATGTAATCTATATTTCGTTTATTTTTCATCTCTTGTCACTAAATTTCGATTTATTCAGTCAGATTGGAAGATAATAGTCTAAATCAGCAATGTGCAATTTGGCATGGCTTTGGAAAATTCTACTAACGTCGTAAAAATCTTTTATTTGAAATATGTATGAATGATCTGTAGCGCTCTGATAACATTGTTTTAAATTTCCCCGGTTGCGTGATTTGACCCACGTGAAGCTAGCCTCACGAACAGTAAGAATCTTTTTTGTTATCATAAAATACCTGCAGCTTTTAAAGCCTGAGTGTCATGCAAGACTGATAATCAATAAACAATCAAGGTATTAATCTGATTTGTTGGGTGATTTGGGTTTGTTCATATATCCTGTTTTATTGTTTCAAAGGCGGCGTTCGGGATTTTTTTTTTCAGTTTGTCGTTCAGCGTTTTAAAGAATACCCCCCTTAAAATTCACAGCTGCTTATTCCAAAATATCTTAAATTGATAAAAGTTGTTTTGAAAAAATTCAAACTCTGAAGATTAATTTCACTTATGTGTAATCTGGACTTGACATAATGGTGAAGAATAAAGAGAAAACGGTGATACTAATTAATTAGGATATGTTAAAGAATCGCGGACATAAACGGAATCTTGACGATTTTTGAAGATTCTTCGATCCCAGATATGAATTATGGATATTTTACACCGGATTTCTCCGAAGCAGATATTCCTTTAGACGATGGAATTGATTACGAGGGAGATCTTACCTCGAATCTCGAGGAGTTTCGAAGTAACAGTGTCATTAGTACCCGCAGCCTTTGTAGTGCACTCGGAAGTCATATGGAAATAAGAGCAAAGAGTATGTATGCAAAAGACTGTATTTTCTGTATATAGAGTGTTATAAAACAACTATTTCGTGACCACAGATAAGCCTCATAAGATTTATTACTGGAAAAAAGTTATATTACCATCATTTTGATTAAATTAACCAAACGGTGATACTCCCCCATGTGATTAATACAAATATGTAGTTAGATGGTTACAGGATTGATCAAATATTATTATTATAATTATAGTGTCATCGACCCCAATCAAATCAAACGTGAGGAAAACAAGACTCCATAAATGAGCATAAATGAGCAATATTCCAAGAAAAAACATAAAATTCACAGCTGATCATTCCAAAATCTTAAAAATTGATAAAAGTTGTTTTGAACAAATTCAAACTCTGAAGATTAATTTCATTCATGTGTATTCTGGACCATATAATGGTGAAGAACAAAAATTAATTTTTAATTTTATATCATTAAAAGGCCAGCATCTTTATGACGCCACCATTTCACCCCCTCAGGACTACGAGGTTCCCCTACATCAGCTTCGGGGTCTGAGAGGGATGTACCGAACAGAAAACCTCCCCCAGGCAAAGGGTAAGGTCTGCTTAGAAAAGGTAAAGCAATGTTTAGCATTCCAAAACATTATTATTCCATCAATATGTGTTGTTAAATGCTAAAATCTTTTACTATAAGCAGCAAGATATTATGCACTGTAACTATCAAATATTTATTTAAACCTGATTTGTCACAAATAGCAATAAGCAAGTCTCGTTTTTTTTGCATCAACAATGACGATAAAGGCTACACATTACATTTTTGAGTTCTAACAATAAAAGTTCAAATGCCTATTTTTAACCATGGATTTTCGTAAATTTTACTTTCCTAATCTCAATAAAACGTCACTGCGCTGCCCACAAACGGCATCTATAAGGTCTCGGTAGAGAGCAATATGCTGGTATTGATTTCCCCGGAGTAAATCTACCTATTTTATGACTATAAGTCTGTGACATTTCCACAAAAGCATTATCTGCCGGCATTTTTGAGACACTGCAGTTTTCGTAGATCTATATACCCAAATTTAGCTCTTAACAATTTTAACCTTTTTACGAAGCATTAAATTCTGATCTTGCACAAAAAGTCATCACACATTTCGCCGTTCATTGGCATCATGTGGCTAATCCTAGAAAATGGAAATTGGCATTAGCAATTCCAGCGCTATTAAATTCAAGGACAAGAAAACGGAAGCCTCGGAAAACATTAAGGAAGGTAGCTTCTTACGCTCGTGAAATAATGGAATAATTCCAAATAACATATATCATTCCGAGGGAATTAATTAATAGCAAGAATCTAAATGTTTGTGTCACGTGAAATGTATAATTCTAGCACTCCCATGCCGATTGGTGACTTAAATATAAATTCAGACAGATCTGTTTCGCACACACGATGGATTGATCGTCTTCCTAATATAGAACACGTGTCGTCAATTATTATAGACCTAAATGTAACTGTATTTCGTCGGAAACACTGCTCTAGTCTTTTAAGGGTATACTCATGTACATGTATGCATTGTCCATAGCATGCAGTAATTCGTAATTTTCATGCATACTTTCGTGCGCAATGATACATAACCCATAAACCCTGCATTTACATTTTAAAGCAACATTATAATTGTAATCTTCAATATTTTTTGTAGATGTAAAGACCAAAAACCTCATCAACTACTTATTAAAAAAAGAGTCTAGCGTATACAGATCGAGAAAAGATCGGCCATTGCTTTCAGCGAGTGTTCGAAACACACAACGATCACAGAACAGTCCTCTCCACTTCCCCATAAGGAGGGAACAGACTCTGCCCGCAATACACCTTAATTCTGGACTAAAGAAATCAGTTACTCCAAAGAAATTCCAAATTCCTAGAATAGAACTGCATAGCCCTGATCCTACCGAAGCACATGCTTTTTCTAGCAGACTTCTACGAAGACCAGCCGTTAGACCAACAAGTCCTATAAACGATTCAGACCCGTTGTTCTTTAAATTCACACAAACAATTGACCTTAAACCCAAAGTTTTTAAAACTCCACAAGAACAAGAAGCTTATTATGAGGATAAATATCCTCTCCTTCTTCATGCTAACCCTAGTGATGCCAAAACACCACGCAAACCAAAGGAACCAAAGCGAGCGGAAGTAATTGAAGATCCGGCTCTTGAGCGAAGGCTCACAGTGATTTCTAGATTGGATCATCTGCAGGAAGCTGTGGATGGATTAGAAAAAGAGACGGATGATTGCGAATTTCTTACAGAGCTCAGGGACCCTGTTTTTGACCCGACAACGTTTCCATGGAATCGACCGGAGCACAGAACTGATGAAGTTCCCGGAACCCCCGCTGTGACCCCCTTCAGTAGCCATAGTTCATCGGAAGGGTCTAGTCATTCTAGCAGCCCTCGAGATCGATGACGTTGAAATCTTTTTAAAATATCAAAATTTCTCTCTGCCAATACAGACCCTTTGAGCCATGGCTTGAACTCTTTTAATAAGCATCAGCATTTATCAACTTCAAAATCTTCAACGCATCTTTAAGTATACAGCATCAGTAATAAAAAAAGACGCTTTAGTAAATTATTTAATGTGTTTGAGAATTTTTAATGTGAGCAAAGTATTCAAAGTAAAATATTGTTGGTGTATAGGTTTTTTTTTTTTTACAAATAAAATGATTGATGGCTTTGAAACTTTCAGTTGGAATGACCAATGCATTTTCACTGAAACTAAAGATACACATGTACCTAAAAATGAAGGCGTGCAATGCCATCCCCCGCTCTATGGAGTGTACATTTTCAATTCTAAAAATCGATGAAAGGTTTTAAAAGTTGTATTGCCAATATCATTCCTTACATATATGTTCTTTATATTTTGTTGAATAAATTATTGACAACTAATTTATTTTTCATCAATGTTTTTAAAGTATGTAAAGAGGGGAAAAAACTTCACGCATGATTCGAACTTTGTTCCAAAGTTCACGGAAATCCTAAGACTGAACGCATTTTTAAAAATGATTGTTCTATCTGACGTATCCGTATCCGTATCGAGATATGAAACGCATCTCGATCCCGATGTCTAAACCATTTAAATAACATTTTTCTTCTCTGTTAGTGGTTAAATAAGCTACAGTCAAGCACTGGAAATTAGCAAATGGCAATTTTTCTATTAAAAATCCCTTGTTTCTTTTTCCTCTCGCTTAATATCAGGATATTGTATTAATTATTTTCTGTATTTTTCACATACCATTACACGGTATCATAGATGCACCCCCCCCCCACACACACACACTGAAATACAAAATACGTTATCATCAACGCTATCGATGAAACGCTGTAGCCGTTTTAAAAAGAGTTTTCAAACAAATTTCATATAATTCGCTTCAGGGCCGTTACAAGTATTGAGTATATATGCTTTGAACAGCCTGTTAAACATCCTCCTTTTCCCCTCCCCTCACAATGGCGTCATACAGAAGCAAATTGAAAGTAGGGAGGGGGGCTAATTGAAAGAAAAAAAAAGCCCTGAAAAACCTTTACAAGCAAAAAAAATTACTTTAATACTATTTCGTGTGTGTGTGTGTGTGTGTGGGGGGGGGGGGGGGGGGGGGGGAGAGGGGTTCGAACTTTTTTATTGCCATATTTTTTCTAACACTACCACTTACTCTTCTGTGACTGCCTCAATGTTCAATGCATATATTATGTCTATCTTTGCAAATAAAGGTGCTATGCCCCCCCCCCCCCCCCCCCCCGCCGCCGAGCCAACGTCTGTGCCTCACCATGTTCACACACAAAATTTGATAACGTCTTTTGACTTTCATTCATTAACATCATTTGTGGTTTAAAATAATTATGGCTCAAAATTTTCAAAATAATGCATCTTATTTTGCTAAGCCTACTTGTCTATCGTGCTAATTTTCTTCTCTTTTAAATTTTTTTCTACTTTCATTCTTACAATTATATAAAATGTGGCCGAGATCGAGATCAGTGTGCACAAATTATAGAATTGAAGAGAAGGAACTGCTTCAGTGTAGCCAAGGATAAAATATCAAAGTTTTTCAGAACTTGCTTTGTTCACTATCAACTCGATCATGTAACTTTCTTAAAAAGAAGTTAATATGCAAATAGAATAGTTTAAGAGAGGAAGATACATCATAATCGAACATTTATTTTTCTCCCCTTTTATTGACAAATGTAAAATCAATCGAGTCCTACATATGTACTGCGTTTAATCGCAACACTTTTGGAAATTGTACAGATTCCATTGTCAAGTTCTTTGAAACCCCGGATACGCATAGGCGTCAGAACCGGGGGGGGGGGGACTAGATGGAGGGGGGAGTTTATCTTCCCCTACTTTTTTTTTGCAAAGATAGACATAAAATAGGCATTTAAAATTGGGGTTTACCTTATTATTGGTAGGTTTAGCCCCCCTTTTCAATTAGCGCCCCTCTCCCAACTTTTTATTTGTTTCCTCCACCCATGATACGGCTATCGACCTACAATGTGGAGAGTGTATTCAAACCGCCCCAGAATTACAAGCTATCCAATTTTTTTTTTCTGAAGAACTATGACCATCAGATTACGTGATAGTGAATGGCATAGAAAATGATAAAAAAGGAAAAGAGGATGGAAATTTTCAGTGAATCCCACATACACATTTGTTTTGCACTGTGGTTAAATCTTTCCCAGTTGACTATACTGTACAACTACATGTATTTACCATTTACAAGTTTGAGATACGGAGGTTTAACTGTATATATAATTATATATTATCGGGGATATGTTGTGTTCTAGTAACCGTTAATTCGAGAATGAAGAATAAATACCCTAATATTAAGAGAGAGAGAGAAAGAGAGAGAGAGAAAGAGAGAGAAAGACGGGATGAATCTAGAAATACTTTCGAACATTTTTTTTTACACATTTAAATAACAAAAATCATACTTGTTTTTCTGATTTTATTTTAAAACTTTTACCCCCCTCCCACCAAATAGACATAATGCATAAGGCGTGTACAGCAACTGATATGTTTGTATTAAACATATCACACTACATATCATTTCTTGGTGAATGAGGCTAAAAACCAAACATGAAACGATGGCAATGTAACCAGATGGTTTAGACATCGGGATCGAGATGCATCTTAAACCTCGATACGTATTCGGATACGGATACTTATACGGATACGTCAGATAGAACAATCTCTAATAGAGGCACTGTGAGCAATGAGCTCACTGAATGATACCCTCGCCTTCCATATGAATATAATCGTAGTGTCCATTTTTTGCTGTGGGAAACCCAAAATACGTGTCGGACCAAAAAAGAAAAATAGGAGGTGCACAATGGCAATATGTAATAAAGTTTCATTAAATTTCACTCAGTGTTGTAAGAGGAGTAATGTTGCGGATAAGAGATGGGTACCCCAAAGCGTAACAGACAGATGGACGGACGGACTTACAGCTGGACGGACATACCGATTACTATATACCCTCCTGCTTTTCAAGCGGGGGGTATAACAATGCTGCTATATCACACAGAAAGAGAATCACAATGACTTAATCATAATTGATGGGATATTTTGGGGGAAAAAACATCAAGTCGAGAGGAACGTAAAAATTGTGCTATTAAAATATTCTAAAAAAAAAAGCGTTGCTATGGAAATTTAAGAAAAAAGAATGTAAAAAAAATCTGTACAGCAAAAGTTTTCTTAAAATATCACTTTCTTAAATATATCCATATATAAAACATTTATCTTTCAATACTGGCCACTATACAATTTCCAATGGATGCAAAAAAGGTACCAAATAAACTTCATCACATAGCTATGTAATGAAGAAAGCTGGACATTTTTTACTTAAACATTCATGGTAAACAATATTCTTCACAATATCAAACTTTATTATAATATAACATTTAACTATTACACTTAGTTTCACTTTCATCAGAGTAGTACATTATAGGTGCTAGAGGTATTAACACATTTCTTGGTTATAAGCTTAATAAATAAGAAGAAAAAAATGTATCTTTAAACCACATTTATAACTTGTATATTGCTTTCATCATGGTTACTATCTAAAATGCCAAATACTGTTCTTCATCTAAACCATCTGTTTTATAGGGTCTTAAAAATATATATTTGGCATGTCTCTTCTATCCCGCTCACTGTCCAGACAATAAGTACGATTTGACCTAACGTACATACATGTATATGTACTTGGGAGAGCGTTGATATCATCGAGTGTAGTATAGATCGACAAAAGCCGATCAAATTCGGCAATCTCCTCAATTATTTGATGCAAATAAGGTCACGACATCAACAAGATTCTTTTGATAAAAATACATGGATATAAGTAACACTAATTAATCTCAAAAGTCCATTATAAGGTATACAAATCAGGAGCAGAGCAAACACAGGCCTCCAAATCATCGGAGGTGGGATCAGTTGCAATGGCGGAGTGAACATCCCCTTCCGATCACTTACACTTCCCATGATCGGGAAACACTAGGTATATAATGGCCTAACAATTAGTACAAAAAATGTTAGCATTTGACTTCATGTTAAACAAGGCTGACAAGGTCATTGTATCGACCATAGAACTTACAAAATGTTGATTTTAAAGGTGACTGTTAGTATTCTTGTTTCATCAACTTGTCAATAACGCCTCATTTAAAAAATTGTTCATACATAGAAGAACATGCTCTTGCATATCGATTCAACTGAGATATATAAACCCTGTATGCAGATGATAAAGGTATTTTGCTGCATAAGTAAGGGAAGTTGATTAAAAAGTGAAAGTAATCACGTTTATCACAAAGCTTGGTTCTTACACTACCTTTGACGTCTTTATCTAGAGAAAAATATCCAAATACGAAACAGAGGTGTCGAACTCTTGTATCTTTTATTTCAAACTCACCAGGATATATCGTGTTGATATATGTATTGAATTAACCATTGTTGATTGACAACTCGTCGTCGATTTATCTAGTACATGCATATCCATTCGAAGGCCACGGCAAATGTTTTCTTCTTTCAAAATTTTGAAGAAATTCTGCTTCATATGAACACAAAACTAGGTCTGCTATTAATGGGGGTGCAATTATTACCCATGTGAATTCAAATAGATTGTTGGAAAACATGGTCTCCGTAAACCACATAGATACTGGTATTGTCAATCAGAAACTCAAGAATCTTTTTGGTATCAACTTTAAAGTACGTTTAGAGTGTGTATAATCAGAATGGTTTGTAACAAAATAATTTTGCAAATGACCAATGACAAAAAAGGTTCCATTTATATTGAAAAAAAGTAGATGTCAAAAAGCCCGGGCTTTAATTATTGTGGGGAATGATTGTATGTATATAAAGTTAAAAAGGCGTAAGGTTTAATGTTTTTGATTTTAGTAATATTTTGTGAATTCAAATTTCTAAAAGTTCCTTTAGAACTTTTAAGTATCCACATCTTAGGCCCATTTTACGAAAGAACTTACGACTTAAACCAAAAAACTTCAGTTAATTGTAAACTTGTGAAAAATTGATGATTTTATTTAAGATTGCAAGCATTAAAGTATCTTTCAAGTTACATTTTAGAATGATATTTTTTTCTCTGTAATAGAAATAAGAAGGTTTTTAGCAGAATTAAATTTTGGTCATAATCGTAAGTTTCTCTGTAAAATGGGCCCTGATTTACAACACTTCTCGAATACTAGTATGTTGTTGCACAGTTCTCATGAAGTTTCTCCTTCACTACTGTTAATATTATAATGAGGAGTAAAGAGAGAGGCTTGGTAGAGCATGTACTCGAATCCGC